ATCTTGTACCATCAAACTTCTCTAATAAGGCAATTCTTGGTTCTTTAACACTTGAAAGATGTTCCATTATGGATAGAAGGACATGATTTGGTGCAAATGTTGAAGCAACTCTAATCAAATTTAATATCCTCACTTCCTATCACTCTTCTTGATCGTTGTGGTAGTAAGCTAAGTTGATGCATTGCAAGCATAAACTCCTTGAATTGTTCTTGCATTTGTACCATTGCACTCTTTATTTCAACAAGCTCTATTATAATAATACTCAGAATAATATCTAATACTACTCAAGATAAATAGAAGAAAGGACTTGAGGACAAAGAAAATACTAAGAATAATATTAGTTTACAAGAAGATAATCTGCAACTTCTAACAGACTTATGTCTTATTATGAAAAAGGGATAATCCACTCTTAATTAAGATAAGATAAAGTATTGATTTTGTAAATATACTCTTCTCAATCTATTAAAGAAATGAATTAAAAGATGATGCATAAATCAATGAAATCCATGTCAAAAAAAAAGTGATAAAATAGAAATAAGAAAGTGTGTATATTAAAAAGAAATTGGAATGGCTTATTGCCAAAAGACAAGAAAACTTGAGACTATTAAAATTGGACTAGAAGCAAAAAAGGAATTGATAAGAGTGAAGTCGGCTTCATTCTTGTCTCTATATATACTATCTAACTAGGAGCTAGGTGGCGATATTCTATAGGACCTCCAATATATGTTGACTTTATAGGACACATGCCTTTACTTACAAGGCAAGTTTTTCTATAAGTTCACCACATAGTTAGCTTGTTCTTCAAGCTACCAATATGTGTGGCACATAGTTAACTTGTTGATCAAGTTTCTAACCTAAAAGTCAATAATAGACAATTATATAGTCAAAGTAGCATCTGAAGCTTCTATAAAGTTTCTTTAGAAGATATTATAGAATTAACTTACTTTTATTTACTTCTATCTACTTCTATCTATTTATATAGATAATTATTGGCTTATATGCATGACACAAGGACATTTGCATCACCAAGGTTGGAATTGAGGTGGAGCAAATGGACTTCAATAATCTTGCTACTACCAATAGAGACTATGACAAGGCTCATGCATTTGTTGTTGATGTAGAAAAGAAAGACACACATCAAATATCTATCATTCATCAATTAATATAATTTTTTACCAAGGCTATATAAACTCCAACTTCAATGCTTGCCAAAATATTGAGAATCTAAATTGGTTCTCTTTTACATCAACAATCCAAACAATTATAGTATCAATATTACTAAAGAATTCTATAGAGATCCTACTTTATTTGATCTATAAAGTAATGAAAGTATCATTGAAGCCTTTGAATTATTAAAAATTAATAATAAAGATGATAGTGAATGGATTCTAGACCTCCATGCTTCAAAACACTTTATTGGAGACTATTTTGCTTTTGATTAGATAAATCACACTCATAGTAACACAATAAATTTAATTGGAGACAATATCTATGTAATTGCATGACAAAGGTTCGTAAATTTATCTATGCTTATTAAAGAAATAAAAATCCTCAAAAAAGTTTGCTATGTCTATAGTCTTAGAAATTTATATAGAAAAAATAATCTATATTACATAGAAGAAACAATCTATCTTCTATATAATAATCTATCTATGATACAAATCACAAATATTAGCTATTTTTATATTTCGGACTCAAATAATGCATTGTTACATGTGCCAATAAACCACATAGAATCATAAGCAAAGATAGAAGGAATTATAAAAATAAAATATATAAATTTGAAAAATTACCTATACATAACTTTAATACTAATGCTGAAATAAAACTAATAGAGGTACCTAGGCAAAATGAAAAATTCTTTAAACTTGAAATACCTCACAAATCTGTTAATTCTCTTATCTATCTTTGGTACTTGTATTTGAGGTGCTTGTACTACAACATCCTTGAATATTTAAAAAAAAAAAAATAGTTTGAGGAATTCTTTGTTTTTCAACAAAAACTCAAACATGTAGTTATTGTTATTACAAAAAACAAACTAGAATCCAAATTTCTAAGGTAGCAACAACTAAGGCTACAAAACCTCTACAACTTATACTTATTGATATGTGTGATTTTCTTCCAATCAAATCCTTAACTCACTAATATAATTTTATTGTATTTATTGATGACTTCTTTAAAGTAAATTGAATCTATTTTATAATCACAATGGATGAATTTCTTGAAATGTTCAAGAAATTGCATATGTTGGTTGAGAGAAAAATCTCCAATCGCATTTAGTCACTTTGATCTATTCAAAGAAATAAGTTTATGTTGTAGGAATTCACTAAGTACCTACAAGAATAAGTTATTATGCATCAGCTATTTGTTGCTTGGACATTCCAACAAAACAAAGTATCAAAAAAGAAAAATAGAACTATCTTAAATAAGGTACAAACCATGTTGATAAATTAGAGCATATATTTATTTCTCTGGACTAAAGTTGCCTATAGTATTGTTCAACTTCTAAATTACAACCCTATCCAAGCAAACCAAGATATGCCTCTTAACTATCTTTTCTACTAAATAAAGTTAAATATTAGCTCAATAAAAATATTTGGGTGTTTCTACTTCATAGGAAAGAATAATATACAAAGATACAAACTTGAGTCTAGATCAAAATTCAAAATCTATCTAAGAATTGATGAAGAATCAAAAGTTTATAAAGTATATTTTTTTACCTTTTGTAAAATCTAAGTCACTCTTAATGACTTCTTTGATAAAACTAGTTTTGCAAGGTTAGGTCCCACAACAACAATCTTTAGTGTTGAATCCCTCCAAATACTTTATTTCTAAGGGACGACACTTAGTCACACTAGTGACAACAAAGATGCTAGAGTTGAAGGCATATTATTCTCCACTATCACTATACTACTCTATGACAACCACAAAGATTAAGGATCTTCTATATTCACTTCAAACTCTACTTCACCAAATCCTCCAACATCAAATTTGGGCCTCCTATCTATCTCTTAAAACACTCCTATACCATCTCCAATATTGTACTTTATGACCTATCATATGAAATTTAAAAACATTGGTAATTTATTTGATTAAAAGAAAGTGAAGTAATCATAATCCTATTTACATTTAAAATAGTATGTATAAATTCCTACAACCTTTAATAACTTTGGATATAACATAATGCAACATTTCACAAATTTTACTTAGATCATAAATATTAATGTTTAAAATTGTTGAAAAAATTGTTAAAAAATTAATAATAATGAATTCTAAATTGAAGTATCTTTTTATCCACTTCATTAGCACTTTGCTAGCAACCTTGTAGTATTCTTTCATATCCAAACCAATCCAATCTTCAATCCAACAGTGGCTATAATATTATTTATTTGAAAAAAATCACTTCATGAAATTACCACCGTTGCTCTCTATTAAATTTCAGATTTGATACAAAAATTATAAATACAGGTTTGACTGTCACTCTTGATTTTCTTTAACAGATTTCAATTTCATTCACTGAGTTCTGCACCAGAATACCACTTTGTTATTATTATTACTTTTGTATTTACATTCTGCAAAAGCCACCTCCATATCCTCGAGGCTAAATGAATTGCTTTGATTCAGATGTTTTAGTTTCTAAATAACTTGCATATCCACTCTCACATACACACATACACACAATTGAAGTGATAAAAGGTTAAGAAATACGTAACTGGACTTCAAGCGTTTGTGAATCTCGCCGCAGCAACTTCACATCTCCAGTGCGAAGCGCTTGAATCACTTGCTCGCATGACACAAGCAAACACAAAAGTTAGTATCACATTAGATCATGAGAGTATCCTGAATCATGTTGTATGGATAGCATTACAACCTGCGAGAGAGCTTGAGAGGAACCCCGTTCTTTGGTCTCATCTTGCAATCACAACGAGAGAGAGATCGAGAAAGAGAGAGCGAGAGAGCGAGAGCGATCACTGAGACACATGTATTTTGTCGAAATGAAGCCTTGAAAGAAACCATAAATAACTGTGTTGAACAACTGATGCAGATTCTTCGACAGCCTCTGCAGAAAAGCGCGGACACCTGCTACAACAATTCGAGAACTAAAGCCTTCCAAGCGCCAAGAGTCATCGATATGAACCTTTTGCCGAAGTGGGGTCGAAAATTTAAAATTGGAACGAACTTCGACCGGTGGTGAAAAGATTTGAAAGTGACAAATCAAGAGATGCGGTATCTTTTCAAGTATTCTTAGGGAGTCTGGAACAATATCCACTTCTCAAGCATGGTGTCCCTTGACAAATTGGGCGACGAATGAGGATGAACAGGCTCCCGGGCCTACACCGAATCTTTTTGAAGCCGGGTACCAGGGAGGCAACTCCTCTGCTTCACTCACACTTGGTGGCCAAGGCTAAGATAATTCAATCGCGCTCTGCGGAGGAAGAAGCACGTGAGCGTTTCCACTGCCATTTCTCTCCGGTTTGGTGATTAGAAGCGTCTGTCGGTCACCAGGTGGGCAGTCTTATGTACTTGATCTTCGAGCCAGAATTGAAAGGGAGTTGGCTTAGATTTTGGCAGTGTATTATGCATTTAATTTTTCGGTGCAATTCTGATTCGAGTTTCGCTCGGTTCCAGCTACATGGAGTTGGTATGATTACAGTGTACAGCGGAACTGTGTCGAAGTTGTTTTGAATTTGGTTAGAGGAGGAGAATAAGTGTGCGTGTCTTTCGTGGGGTTAATTATAAACCCGGTGTGGTCATCTAGAGGAGGAAATTGTCATCGGAATACGGGATTGAAATGAGAGCAATTTCTGAGCAGTTAGCCTGTGGATGTCTTCACCGCGCGAGAGGCTCAGATTTTCGTGGGTTTTGGTGAAAGTGAGAGTATTCGGGATTGGGTGGGATTGTTTCGATTCGCATTTACGCATGCCCTCGCCGCGTTTATGCCTCTAGCTTGCCCGTCTTATGAATAGGTATCAACTGTGATGTCTTCTATTTCAGATAACTATGTCGAGTTTGTTAACGCGTGTATGAACTCCCAATTTAAGAATACACGCGAGGTTTTATAAAGGGTTCTCAAGTATATTGTCACATTTTTTAGTTGGTTCAAGTAGAGTTGTACTCCTGCACTCTGTTCCTGTATTTGTCAGCCTCTCTGCTAGGGGTATTTACAGAGTGTACCTGGTCAAATTTTGCGCCATGAACGAGTAGATGACGGTAGCGTCGGAAGCACAGCCACATCACACTAAGTCCTGAATCTCAACGCAAAGTAGATTCCCAAGTTAATAAATACTTCACAAATTATTTTGAAAGGAAAAGGGTGATTCTTGTTTCAATTTGGGTTGCAAATCGTGAGGAACTCAACCCTTAGCAAAGTTTCGACTCTTAGATTACGGAAGAACAAATATGTTTTTATGTGAATGGAGCCTTTGAAATTGAAGTGCAATGTGATGCTATTACTCTAAGTTAATTAGAGATATATAATGAGGCGGGACTTGGGACTTGCTGTAATGCTGCCCTTACGGCTATGTATTGTCACATTCCCTTGTGCTCATCTTCCATTTCTTATTTTTTCTCACCTGCGATAGACGTCTTCACGTTTTCTAATGACAAGAAGGTTCTAGCTTATTCATGCTTTGCTTGACAGCGATTGGTGCCTAAGAAAACACGAGATTCATTCTCTAATGCTTTTTACCGGCTATCCTCTGATCCACAACATAATATATTTTTATACTTTCACAGCACCAGAATGGCAGCCAACAGTGCAAAGTCAGCTAGACCTGTCGAGGGAAGGAAAGGCGCTAAAGATGAAAGTATCGCCAAGGCTGCAGGCGTTGTTGTTGCTAGCGGCATAGCTTGGAGCTTGTTCAGATCGATCACCAGTAGGGGGGAACAGCAGGTGCATATTCATTAACACGCCACACTGCAGCCTTTCAAGAACTGTCCTAATAATTGTAATGTACCCAGCCCCTAACGAGATTCGAACCGAATTGTTGTGGTCACAGAATAACGGTGACACATTGAGCAAAGAGGTGAAGCTGAATGCCGGAGATGCTGCGCTTGGGGTAAGTAGTACAAGGGGCACATCAGATCCTGCTGGAAGAAAAATTTCAAATTTCGGGTATAAGGCAGCCGGAAAGACTGTTCAAGTGCATGATGGCGATACTCTGTGGGGGCTTGCGATGAAGCATAATGTGCGCTCTCTTCCAAATCTCTCTTTTCTGATGGGATTTAATTAGCATTTTTGTTGACCTTTGCATGTTGTCTTTCGCTCAGTTGTGGTGAAGCACACGAAGTGTATTTTGCCAGTTCATACATTGAATTTGATTGAGATTTGTTGAGTGTGTTTTGCCATGATTCTGAATTCAGGTTTCGGTGGATGCGTTGATAGCGATTAACGGAATCAAAGACGGAGACAGTATAATTGTTGGGGACACGATCATCCTTCCAAAAGCTCTAAAACCTTGAGCTTGTTATGGCACAGAAAGGCTTTAAATACTTCATTAAATTCTGTCATTCGGGATAGCAACTTTTCTGGTGGATGTTATCATGTTGTTGCATCCTTTTGGTATTGTCCTCTATGTGGCTTTACGATAATCGGCAATATTTTAGTTCATCTGCATTGTTCTCAGTAGGTGTTGTATTAAGGATTCCTTTTGAAACTGTTGTACAATAAAAAGAAGTGTTTATGAGTACTTCGTCGTCTTCAACGCTGTCTGGTCACTCTAAAACTCTTCGTATTATTTATGAGGCTACTCTAAAACTCTTCATGTTGTTTATGAGTACTAGTGGGGTTGGAATCTTTGACCGTGTTATCAAATTATCCTTGAGGTGAATCTCAATTATGAATACTAATTTTTTTCTTCTTAATTTTTTATTCGTTATAGTATCATTATGATAACCCAAAATATTTTTTTTAGTATCATTTGAAAGATAAAAGAATTATCTTTACAAATTTTTATTTTTAGAATTTATCTTTTTTATTTAATAAGTAAAAATATAAAAAATTTAATGTACCTTTTTTTAGATGTATTCTTCTTTTGTTGTTATTCTTATGTTTCTTATTTCTTTAATTTCTTTTATAATTATGATTCTTAACCACAACACTGATTGTAAATAATTCTTCAATGATGCCACTTTGAAATTTAGATAAAGAGATGAATCTTGCCTTTACACTTGGTTATCCTTATTTTTATCTAAATTTCATACTTCTAGCTTGTCTCGTTTTCAAAAAAGATGGATGTTAATAGAATTTCTTAGTTTTTTTTTTTTTTTTTTTTTTTTTATAATTTTATTTTAAGTACTTGATTTTCTTTTAATTTGTTTATTCTTCCAATCTAATCAAAAGATTAATGAAAGTTGCAATAAGAGGCCATAATAATGACTTTTAATGATTTTGTAGGCAATAATCGTACTTAGAAATAAGAAAATCTTAATGAACTAAGAGCAACTGGAATTTAAGTGATTTTTAAGAACAAAGAGTTATTTTCAGCTTTAATAGTAAGTCCTAGCTTTAGCAGTAGCTTTAATTGATACTTTTAACTTTGGTTTCAGTTTTGATCTAGAACAATGTGGAACACTATTGTATTCTTGACTTGAATAAAAGAATTCATAATCTTTAAAACACATTATTTTTATACTTTTTTATATGTTTATTTCTATTATATATTTCTTCTTTTTTAGTTATTTTTTAATATATAGATTTAATTATATCATCAATAGAAAAATATAGAAGTAAAAGAATTGTCAATTTATAAGTTAAGATTTTTATACTCTTTATTATTGCTAGTATGTATTTGTTTATATTATAAGATTTCTTATTTTTATTTTTTGTGAGTATTTTATTTGAATAATATTAAGAATTTGTTGTTTAAGTAGGTGCAAAATAAATATCTATTAAAAAGTGGAAATATAAGAGAATTCTAACCAAAAAATGATATTTATAGGAGAAGAATCAAATCCCTAGTATACCAAAGTGCATGACAACTAAAAAAGCCATTTAAAGGTAGTTATATAGGAATTATTATAAACTTTTAGAAAATAGTAAATTTTAAATAAAAAAAATCTTAAAACTAAAAAATAGAAAAATAAAAAATAAAAATTTAAAATAAAAATTCATAAATTTTACTTGATGGAGAAGAAATAAATAAAAAAATGATATACATATTTAATACAATTGAAAAAAGATGTCTTCGAATTACAATAGATGGAAGTGATTAGATAAGATAAATTTAAAGATAATAAAATAGAACAAATCAAACTATTAGACTTATTAATTGATATAGATGTTGATAAGAATTAATTTTTAATTAAAAGTCAAATAAATTTTGGCTTATTGCAGAGAAAAATGTAATTAAAAAAATAACACTAAATCTTAGAATTTAAAAGAAAAAAAGAAAAACTCCTCTTTTACCAATATTTTAGACTTGTTTAATTTATAATAGAATCAACTATCTAGTTTTTGACTAAAGAGACTAAGGACTATAGACAATAGCAAGAATCTTTTTAAAACACAAATACAAGATATCAAGTAGAGCTTATAAGTTGAAGTAGTTGATTGCACATTCTACTATTGAATAAAAATCTATTATGCCATATAAATTGCACAAGACTTGGCATAATGGTGGATTAAAGCTTAGAAGACTATATTCTTAAATCTATTCATTTTTTAAAATAAATATTAATTTTAATTATAATATAATCTTTTAAATATAAATAATAAGAATTAAAATTAGTTATTAGAAGGTAATTTTAAATAAAACTAATTTTAGATATAATTTAATATTATTAAATTTAAATAATTTATTAAAAAATTGTTATAGATATCTAATGAGAAGATTCTAAAAATATTCTTAGAATATTCTATTAGATTCTAAAAGGTTCTATAATATTTTAGAAAGATTTTAAAAATATTTTAAAAGATTTTAGATGGTTTTTAGAATATTCTAGAAAATTCTAAAAAGTTCTGGGAAGATTAAGGAAGTTGTTTGAAAAGCTTCTTATAATTGCTTCATCATCAAGTAATATGGAAACTTCTTGAGAAGCTTCCTAATACCTAGTATATATTGGAGTCAAGACTGAGGAGATCCTCAAACTTGACATCACATCTTTTAAAGTTTTAGCTTGCTTCTTTTTGTATTGCTCTTATATTCATTTGATTTAATCTAATAGAAGTTTTTTTCAGCTTTCTTATTAACTTTCTTATTGAAACTCTTCTATTTAACTTCTTGTTTAGTCTCTTGTATCATATATCTGTGATAGTTTGTCGAGATTGACTTTCTTATCAATACTAAAACTTAATCCATCTTGATAGAGAGTAGATTATCTCTCTTTTTGAAGACATCTAAGTACTTTAGAGGTTACGAAGTATCCTTCTCTAAACTGATATTATTTAAGAAACTCCTTTTATCTCTTTCATGATGGTTGGAAGTGAAGATGCTAATATGGTTGAGTCTCTCAAGTCCAAGTTAGATATTATTATGAATACACTGAATGCTTTAATTTCTAAAATTATTGAAATTAAGAGATTTTTTGCAAGATTTCATGATGATGCAAGATTTGGAGCAAGTCAACATGTAATGCAATCACTTTCTTAAGCTTCTACAACCAAAGAGGTGGTAGCACCTGTACTTCAACAAAAAAATTTATCTATTCAATAATATAAAGAGCCTCAGATTAGACTTCTAATAAAATTTAATGGCACATGCTCAAAGTTTCAAGGATTTATTAATCAAATTTGATTAATAACTTTTTTAGAATCTGAGCACTATCCAACAAAAGAGTTGTGAATTTTTTTAGTTGGAACCTTGCTTATAAGACAAGCCTTATCTTAATTTTTTCCTTTATTTTAAAAAAATCTCCAAACTTGAAAAAAATTTGGAGTCTTTTTAGAAGTATTTGTAAAGCATTTGGAGAACATGACAAGGCCTGATCAAAGACAACAAAGATTTGCTCATTACATCAAGAGTCACACTCTAAATCAGTTTATGCTTTTGATTTTAGGCAATTGGCTTATAACATTAATTTGGATAAATAAGCTTTTACAAGATAATTCTATTGAGAAGTAAGAGATGATGTAAAAAACCTATTTCTATCATTATTTAATTCTCAAAAACTCAATGAAGCTATTTTTGAAGTTGTAAGGTGTGATAATTGATTATTTCAATGTTGCTAAGATCAACAGTCATGGACTTTGACAAAACAATGTACTAAAAATTTGTACTTTGTTGTTTCAACAAATACATTACTTCCACACTTTGGAGCCAAAGATATAAAAATTGATGTGATATGATTTAATCTTCTTATACCAATGAAAAAAAAACATCAATTTCAAGAAGTTGTATGCTTATATTATAGTAAAGAAGATAACAAATCTAAGAATTGTCTAAAGAAACAACATATAATCAAGACTAATAGTGCAATTATTTAGAAAAATGAGGAAGCCCAACTACAATAAGAACCAAGTGGCTAAACATTTCAACACCTCAAATTCATCAAGTTCCATCTTTTTCTATCCAACTTACTTGTTGTTTTACTATACCTTTATTTTTTGGCCCACAAAAACTTCAAAGAAATACCTTATTTGATTTAAGAGCATTATCTTGTTTTTTAGATGAGGAATTTTTTAAACTTCATAAAATTCTTCTAATACAGAAGTCAAAACCTATATATGTAGAAGTAATAGATAGTCGACCTTTATCTTTAAATAATATTATTCATGAGATCATACTACTAGAAATATCATTTGAGGGCCATAGTAGCAAAATAATATTTAATATTATTAAAACCTCATCCAATCCTATCATTTTAGAACTTTCATAGTTTAAAAAATATAATCTATTTATAGATTAAAGATTTAATAAGATTGGATTTCTTATGGAATTCCTTCAAGTAAAACCTATCAAAAAGTCATGAACAATGAAGCCCTTATTTTTTAGAGCAAAGACATTTATGAAGATGGCTAAGAAAGAAATGCCATTTTTTATTTAAGCAATTCTAGCTCACAAAGAAACAAGCTTGCTAATAGTTATTTTAGAATAATATATAAAAAATTCAAGATGTTTTCAAAAAAAAAATGCTAATATATTACTAAAGCATTGACTGTATGATTATATCATCAATCCTCAAGAAGGGATTCAACTACTATTTGGCCCAATCTACAACCTACAATAGAATAAGCTTTTGGCATTGAAAGATTATATCAAATAAATCTTACAAAGAACTTTATTTAATATTTTAAATCTCTAAATGGTGCACCAATACTTTTTATAAAGAAAAACGATGGAACTTTTCAAATATCTATTAATTATTGTCACCTCAATAAAATAACAAAGAAGAATCATTATCCATTATCATTAACATTAAGGCTTTTGGAACAACTCGGTCAAACTAAGATCTATAACAAAATAGATCTCTTTGGAGTATATAATTTGGTATAGATTAAAGAAGGAGATGAATGGAAGATAGTATTTTGGATAAGATATGGACATTTCAGATATAATGTTATGCTTTTTAGATTGACAAATGCTCCACCTATATTCAAGCATTTAATGAATAATATTTTTTGAGAATTTTTAAATAAGTTTATTATCTATTACCTTGATGATATCTTAATCTACTCAAAGACTTTTAAAGAACATAAAGAATATGTGAAAATAATCTTGAAAATTTATAAGATATAAGATTGTATACCAAA